GCATCCTCCTCCCCCCCCCTCGTCGAAGGCTCGAGTGCCAAGGGGGCTCGACAGTCGAGGATCGAGGCCTTTGGATCTGCTCCGCTCTGGCTGGGGCCTCCTGGAGCACCCTGGTGGCCACGGCTGGATCCGCCTCGAGATTGCGGACAGCACGCGCACCAGGAAGCGCCAGAGGGGCGACCTCTCACACCCAAAATCCCCAACCCCGTAGTCCTGAACAACATCAAAACGGAAGGATCGAACACAGAAAGTGTTCTGCCTCTGGGGGACTTGTTCGGCCACCAATCTTTGGCGAGTTGGGTCCAACAAGCGGTGGGGCTAACGGCTGGAAGCGCCCGTAGCTAATCACGGAGCAAATCCTGGTGTACACGGGATTATGGTGTATACATATGTTTCGTTGCTTCCCTGGGAAAGCGGGGAGACAAATATACAACACACCACCACGACGTCGTCCCCGGACCCCCCAAACCTCCTGGGATTGAAAACCAGCCCGCTACTGGTATTGGAGGCCAGTCCACAAGAAACCTTCCACAAGGAAACCAACCTTGAGACCCCAGGACGACCCTTCATGTTTGGTGTGGGAACGTCGCGCTTCCCACAGAAGAAACCATCGAAACCCAAGAAGCCCAGGGCACCATGGAGGCAAGCATAATGCTTCTTGGCATGGGTCTCCCACTGTAATTGATATGCTCCATTTCCCGAGGAGGGGCACGGAAGGGAGGGCGCGGCCGCGGAACGGCCAGAGAGAGCTCTCAGACCATGCAGATCTTCAGGAGGCGCGGGAGGTCGTGCTCGTGAGACCGACGACGGCGCAGAAGGAAGAGCGAAAGACATGCCGGGAGGCAAGGGCAACACCGCAGAACCAGGGTGGAGCATGAGAGCATGAGTCGCACAGAGGTCAAGAGGTCGACCCAGGCATCCTACGGTTCCAAAAGCAAGGCGAATCATTTGTTGTTGCTCGGCCTCTGGGGGGCCCCTTGCGGGGCGCCAGGACCGCCAGAAAACAAATCGGGGTGAAAAGCAACTCCCGCGGAATAGGTTTAAGTCGGGCGTGTCCCACCACAGGTGGATTTTCGACGAAAAATTCGCCGGCCCAACGGGCCAGAGGCGTGCTAAGATCTCCGGCAACTGGTTAACAATAATTCTAGTTCGCGCGCGCGGGGCGGCCCCTGGGGGCCCCCCGGCGAAAAGTACCCCGACCGAAGCCCGGGAACTATTACTCAGAGATGGTTTCCCTCCTGGGCGCGGCCTTATACGCACCCCGGAGCGCGCCAAGAGGGCCAAAAGAGGCCCCCATGACGGTCCAAGAGGGCTCCGAGTCACCGAACGATCGGCCCAAGACGCCAAACACGGCGTCAAGACGGCCCAAGAGGCCTCCAAGACGTCCCAAGAGAGCCCCGACCCTCTCCAAGAGAGCCCCAAGATACAAAAATCAATGATTTTCCATGGTTTTTGAAGGTTTTTGGCTCCCTCGCCTTTCGGCCTTCCGACGCTCCAAGACGGCCCAAGAGGCCCCCAAGACCACCCCAAGACGGCCCCAGAGGCCCCCAAGAGAGCCCCAAGACCGCCCGAGAGGGCCCCAAGACAGCCTAAAAGGCGCCGCAGAGGGCCCCAAGAAGGGCCCAAGATGGAGACCACGAACCGAAAATCCGAGCCTTCCGCTCCAAGAGGCCTCCAGGACGCCCCAACAGGCCCCCAAGAGGCCCCAAGAGGCACCAAGAGGCCCGAAACAGACCCCAAAAGGCTCCAAAACGGAGCCCCAAGAGGCAAAACTCAGTGATGTCCATTAAGTTTCTGAAGGTTTTTGGCTCTGGGGATCCCCGCGTGACTTTTCCAGGAACCAAGGTCGCGTTTGTAGTTGGAGGGTCTCAATCTCCAACGTGCTCTGAGATGGCCCCATGGGGCTGTCCTTGTGCCTTCTTGGGGGCCCTGGGGGCCTGCCCAAGAAGCCACCATAACTGAGTCGCACGGACTGATTAAATGATTTTCGCGTACTCGCCTGATCGCCCCAAGACAGCCCTAAGAGAGCCCCAATGCACCAACAGGGAGAGAGAGAGAGAGAGAGAGAGAGCGCGCGAACTGCCAATTGGAGTCCTCCACACGAAGAGGGTCCATGAGATAGTCAGCAGGCTCCCAGGGGGCCCTCAAAAGCCACCCGAGAGACCCACAGAGACTCCCAAGATGTCACGAAAGGCCTCGAAAAGGTCTCAAAGGGTATCCAAGACGCCTCGATATGCATCCAAGAAAACTCTTTTGTCCACGACCCACGCAGGGTGGTGGGATAAGCCACATGCCACTAGATCGCTACCGAACTACGTGCTTGGCATTCAAACAACTTTTCAGTCATGTCCCAACATGCGCATACCTGAATAGACATATGCACACGCAGACATGCATGTTTGCATACAGTCAGCGTTCTACCAGAGGGGATGCCAAACTATGAACGACTGGGGCTTTTCTTGCCACGGCGAACCTCGGCCGTGATTAGGTTTCCCGACCTAGATCTCAGAAACAGCCCAAAGACCGCAGCCCCTCCTGCGCCCAAGGTGATCCTTATTTCACTGTCTTGACTGTATGTGTGTTTGCAGCGTGCACTCATAAACGCATTTCAAGACGCGCGTGCATCTGTTCATTTTGCACAGCTGCGGTCTGGAATTAGGTCGGGCATGTTCCCCTACAGGCGGATTGTGGAAGTGAGCAATAGTCAAACAAAAATCAAACATAGCCAAACGAGCGCGAAACGTCATCCCCATACAATTGTCTTGAACCATTCTCGAATATTCCTCCTGTAGGGGAACGTGCCCGACTTGATTCTGGAGCTCGGAACTTTTGATCTGTGTGGATCGTCGCCCTCATCCTCCTCCGGATTCTCCCCGTCGTCATCCTGATCTCCATCGCCCTTGTGTCCCTGACAATCCTTTCCTCTTGCTCCTCCACGCCGTCCCCTACTCATCCTGCTCCTCCAAGCAAACGCCCAAATGAACCAATGTCGGCAGAATGGCCCCAACTCGCACACCCCTCAACCACCTCTGTCACCCCAAAATCCCCCGTGCCTCTGCTCCTTCCTCCATCTTCCACTGCTCCTCTACTCCCTCCGCCTCCCTCCTCCCCCACCTCCTCCCCCTCCTCCTCCTCGGCCACCCACACTTCCCAAGCTCGCGCCTCTACCCCCCTACCCCCAATCCTCCGCCCCCCCCCCCCCCCCCCCCCACACACGCACGTTTACACATAGCAGCGGAAGGAGGAAGTTCAGAGGAAAAGGAGATTGCAACATGTTTTCTTGTTTCCTGCGATAAACTTTCACGAGCCGCCACCTTCCGGATAAGACGGTTCAGGCATGCAAAAAATGGCCCCCGCCGGCAGGGTCGCCCCAAGCCGACCATCAAAGATCAACAACCAAACCCACCACCCGCATTCACTCCGATCACTCAGGCAATCGACAGCCGTGCCCCAATATGGGCCGGCGGAATGAGCGAAGCGATTGAATAAAAACACTCCAAAGAAATCAAAAATTGTCAAACATGCTCGAACAATAGTCCCCAGACTATTTTTGTCTACTTTTGGATATTCCTCCTGTAGAGGGACAAGCCCGACTTGAGAATAGGTCTTTGGGGTAGGGCTCTGCGCCCGCGTCGGGAGGTGGGAAGTCATCGTGGGGCACCCGTCGGCGGGCCAATTTCTTACCCAGTGTGCGTGCCCTGACGTTCGAGGCTCTGGAATTTTTCTACCGCTTTCGCGGTTTCCCATACGATTTCGGGCCTCGGGGTGCTTTCAACAAAAACGGCGCCTCGGCGAGAGCGCTCAAGGGGTGCCTGGCTCGTGCCGAACGGCTGGCAGGGCCCCGAGATGTGTCCCGACGGCCACAATAGGGGACCGCATGCGAACACTACCCCTTCCCCCCACGATTTTTGAGGGGGAGGGTGGGGCTCACTTCGCTTGGGAGCTCCCGAACGAGATGAACCCCGCCCGCCCCCTCAGAAATCGTAGGGGTAGGGTTCGCATGCGGCCCCCTACACAATCCCCAATCCCCCTCCTCGCGACGTTCGGCGACGCACCGATTTGGGCAGCGTTTCTTGTCGGAGCCGGGGTCAATTCCGTGTCCGCCGACCGATCTGCACTGAAAACCCACGCGGCGCGCCGCTCGCGGGCCGCAGCCGCAACCACAACCGGCGACCGGAGGCGACGCAAGCTGCGCCGCCTCGAAGGAGCGCAGCCGCAGGCGCGAACCCGCAACCGCAGCCGTCCGGGCCAGTCTCCGTCGGGTCAGTGCAGCGGGGAATCCCCACATTCCGCGCTGCTGCCTTTTTTGTTAAGGAGGAGGAGGAGGAGGAGGAGGAGGAGGAGGAGGAGGAGGAGGAGGAGAGCGCGAGACTTTCGTGTTCGCGATGGCTGCCGCTGCGAACAGCGCAGCATTCATCCTCGAGCGCCCCGACGTGCCCACCACACTTGCCATCAAGTCGGCGGCTCCCCGAGACTGAGATCCTGGCCTCTCTTGCCTCCCTCCGAACTTGCACACAGGCAGGGTTTAGAGGCTTCGGCCATTACCAGCCTGGAACAATATCCCCATCCCCATGCTGGGCATCGCCTCGTCACGACGCCCATCTTAGGGGTTCCCTCAGCTTCCGAGGGACCATCCCTACGATTGCCATCGCCGTTTGGCGCGCCCATCTGAGGGATCGGGACAAGTTCGAGGCTGGCGAGATCCAGGCGCATGAGGAGGAGGAGGAGGAGGGGGAGGAGGAGGAGGAGGAGGAGGAGGAGGAGGAGGAGGAGGAGGAGGAGGAGGAGGAGGAGGAGATGGAGGAGGAGGAGGAGGAGGAGGAGGAGGAGGAGGAGGAGGAGGAGATGGAGGAGGAGGAGGAGGAGGAGGAGGAGAAGGAGGAGGAGGCGGGGAGGAGAGGAGGAGGAGGAGGAGGAGGAGGAGGAGGAGGAGGAGGAGGAGGAGGAGGAGGAGGGGGCGAGGGCCGAGAAGCCCACCCGACCTCCTGCCGGCCGCATGCCCCGCCTGCAGGCGCCCCTGGTCCTTCCGCCGCCTTCCGCCGGCCTGCCGCCGGCCTGCCGCCGGCGGAGGCGGCCTCGTTGCGCCTCCGCCGACGCTCCGCCGCCTGCCGCCGAGGAAGAGACGACGTCTCTGTCTTCCCTAGGAGGCAAAGCCCTGCTTGCAACGCCCCGCATGTCGTTCGTGGAAGGCAGAGCCCTGTCCTTCCTGGAGGGCAGGAGGAAGAGACGGCAGCCGAGGAACAGACGACACCCCTGTCTTTCCTAGGAGGCAAAGCCCTGTTTGCAACGCCCCACACGTCGGCCAAAGCCCGCGGTGCCCAGACATGCTCCGGCACGCCCGATGCTGTTCCAACCGCGGCCTGAGATCTCCTGGCACCTTTCCCGGGGGGACAATTGTTTGCCGCGGATCCGTGTTCGACGGCCCGCGGGCCCTGTAAGGAAGGGCCCCCGGAGGCCGACATCGACGAAGAATCAACATGTCGACCAGCGCCAAGGTGTTTCCAGACGACTGAGGGGCAATGCTCGGGGGGACCAGCTCAGGGGGGCAAACATCGACCTGGACTCGGCGATACATCGCAACTAGATCAGCGATAGGCCCCGATGGCGAATCCGCACGTTCCTGGGCGGGGCGAGGATGCTGGGCCCCCATCGGCGACGAAAGCGCGAACGGGGGTTGATGCCTCCCCCCCTGAGCCTAACTCCTCTTTAAGGGCTTACCGACCTCTGCTGTCCCCCGAGTCGCGTTGGAACGTCCACGGCTTGATCCAAATGTCGCTGGGGACCCAGGTCTCGCTCCGGACGTCGGTAGACTTATCCGGATGTACCTCGAGCTATCCGGACTCACCTCGACTCATCTGGCTCCACCTCCTTCTTACCTGTCCTGGCCCCCCACCCCACGTCGCACCGGGTATTCCCCCCTACGCTCAAGTCGGGCATGTCCTCCTACAGGCGGACTTTGGACGCAAGCAAACAATAGCCAAGCCATTCTCAAAACCAGTACCACATGAACCAACAATCGCCCCCAAACTATCCTTGGACCATTTCTGCACCTCCCTCCTGTGCAGGGACATGCCCACGAAAAAACACATCCCCAATCCCAAAATCGCGGATTCACCGAGGATTCGAAGATCGGCCAAAGATTTCGGGGTATGTTTTGCGTTCGTCGTCGTCGCCCTGGTAAAACCCTACCTCAAAACCTCCCTCCCCGAAGTCTCGAGGAGCCTGCAATCTCTCTTGGCCCTCGCGTCTTTGGGATGGGGCATCTGTCTTGACTTGGTGAAGACATGCCCGACTTGACCCTACCCTGCCCCCGAGCGTCGGGTTGTGGCCGCCGCCGCGCGCCAGCGCCAGCACGCGCAGCCCCCGCGCGCCCAGCGCCTCCGCGCCGCGGGCGTAGCCCTCCGGCTCCTCGAGCAGCAGGGGCCGCAGCGCCTCTGGCGAGCCCTTGGCCAGCAGGCAACGCCCGGCCGCGCCCGGCAGCTCGTACTCCACGCTCATCCTCGGGGGGAGGAGGAGGAGGAGGAGGAGGAGGAGGAGGAGGAGGAGGAGGAGGAGGAGGAGGAGGAGGAGGAGGAGGAGGAGGAGGAGGAGGAGGAGGAGGAGGAGGAGGAGGAGGATGGGAGGAGGGAGGAGGGAGGAGGGAGGAGGGAGGAGGGAGGAGGAGAGGAGGCGTGGGAGGAGGCGAGGAGGGAGGAGGAGAGGGAGGAGGGAGGAGGGGAGGAGGGAGGAGGGAGGAGGGAGGAGGGAGGAGGGAGGAGGGAGGAGGGGAGGAGGGAGGGGAGGGAGGAGGGAGGAAGAGGAGGAGGAGGAGGAGGAGGAGGAGGAGCAGGAGGAGGAGGAGGAGGGAGGAGGAGGGAGGAGGAAGGGCGAACCCAACCCAGACATTCTCGCGGCGCACCTGCCCAAATGCCCGCGAGGTGCAGGGTTCTCGGACGTTCTGGTTGGCTCTCGGCGGCTTTCCAGCCTCGGGGTGCTCTCCAGCGGCTGCGCCTCGCCGAGGGCCTTCCGGGCGAGCCGGAATCGCCCCGAACGGCCACCAGAGAGCCGAGCTGACCTGAAAACCACCCGCCTCGCATTGTGGCAGAACTCGCGCCGAGTTCAGCCTCTGCGGGCCCTCGCCGGGCCAGGGGGGCCATCAGAACAAGACTCGGGGTGCAAAACCGGTCCTGGGGAAATGGGACGCACAGAGACATACTAGGACGAGGTGTCCTCTCGGAGGCGTGCGTCCGACCCTAACATGTTCTAGTGTACCCATCTTGTAGTATATCGTTTCCGGTGCGGTGTGGCCAGAAAGATCCCGCCACGACGCATATCCTATAAGACTTCTCGGCTAGGATGTTGGGGTGACGCCGAGGAAAAGGTCGGGCAATCGAGGAGCGACGGAGAGGGGGCCTGGACGGAGAGCTAGCCGTGGGGTGGGCTCCGAGACAGGGTTTGCTGGGATGCCCGCGGGGATTGCTAAGGTTGTGGATGCCATGACAATGGACACCCTAACAATCCTATCATTGAATTAAACATGTGCTTATAATTATAAGGTTTGGGAATGCTCCAACAATGTTTTAAACATGCTCTTTACATGTTGAGAACATGTTTAAAACTTGTTTTAGACATCTGGAAATGATTTGGCAACACGCTTCCTCTCCATTGATCGTCGTCCACAGTGCTAAGGGGACAAGGGGGCGAGGCGAGGCGAAGCGAGCACGCGGATCCGCTGGGTGCGGGGCCCTTCAGGGCCTGCGCGGGGGGGCCGGGGCCCTCAATGCATGTTGTCCTTGTTCGCCGAGGTCGTGGTGCTGAGTTCTGAGATGGTGGACGCTGGAGGTCGATAGGTGCAGGGGGCCAAGAGCAGGTGGCAAAAAATGGCTATGCCAGGCCCAACCTGGCTCACAAGCGGGCCACAGCTGCCCCAGGAGTGGGGGCCGCTCTGGAGCGATTTTTGAGCTGTGGGCAGACCTTTTCCTCCTCATCCTCCTCC